AAGAGAGGATTGTAGCTACCAATCAAGAAAGGCATAATTTCTTAAAAATAAAAAGAAGGGCTGGCGAGATAGCTCAGTGGACGAAGTGCCTGCTTAGCCAAGTGCAGGGACTGGAATACAAACCCTGGCACCACATGCTGCACCAAGTGCACTGATGTGGCGGCAGAGTCCAGGCATGGTGGCACATGTATGTAATCCCAGCACCGGGAGGCTGAAAGCAGGAAGATCACTAAGAGTTCGAGCTTCATAGCAAGACCCTGCACAAAAAAAATAAAGAAATTACAATTCAGCAACTGTAAGATGATACAAAGAAAACAATATTAAGACACGTAAGACTGATACATGTCAAAAAAAAATCAGGAGTTGACACATATGACATAAACAGACTATTTGCAGGAGAAATAACAGAAAATTCCCCAAACATGGGAACAGAACCTAACACACAGATTCTGATATACAATAATGCATATAGAACTCCAACTAGCTATGACCAAAATAAATCTACACCAGACATATAATGTTTCAGAAATACTACACAAGAACAAAATATCAAAAACTGTTAGAGAAAAGAAATAGACAATGTAAAGAAAGAAAAAAGAAAAAAAGAAATAGGCTATGTATAAAGGAAAGCCCATCAGAATCGTGGAAGACTTTTCAACACAAATCCTTAAATCAAGAAGAGCTTGGAGTGAAGTATTTCAAGTATTAAAAGAAAACAACATCCAAGCTAGATTGGTACACCCTGCAAGACTATTTTTCAAGATTAATGAAGAAATAAGATATTTCCATGACAAAGAGTAACTGATGACATTCATGACCACCAATCACTCTATAAAGAATAGTGGAATGGCAATGAGGAGACACCTGGTGTGTTCAATTGTAATCACACCCTCACATGCTATTCTGAGCCAGAAGCTGAGGTCTATTAAACTAATTTCAATTGCTTGGAGCAAATTGAGAAGCATTTCTTTTCTTAATGTCTTCATAGTATGAGCTCATTTGATCAGAGGTACAAAGGGAATGAATCTCAAGGTAAAAGGGTACATGCAGACGCCTACTAAGACCTCGAGAATCACTACAAGAAAAGCACCTTTAGGTGAAGAATCTGAGATAAGACCATTTCCAGATGAGGAACCACAAGCAACTCACTGATTTTCACAGTCCTTCTGAGATTGTTATGCAGATTACTTCCATCCATATCAAGCCTGGGTTAGAGATTGAAGTCAGTACCACAGGTGTCTAAGGTAACTGTTTTAATAAACTGATAATCAATTGTTTAAAAAAGAGTAATGAATGATATGTACTGACAGAGATAAAAATGAGCATAACTGCAAGAACAAAAACAGAAAGAAACCAACAGGCAGGACAAGCAATTAAACTGAGGGGAAGAGCAGGGAACCAACCATGACAAAGTAACATGACAGAAAGAATGTTAGTTATAATCATTAATGTATCAGGCCAGCCAAATAGCTCAGTGGATTAAAGCACCTGCAAGCAGGCGCAGAGGCCGGGCGTTCAATCCCTGAGCCTGCCGTGCTGCCCCACCCACGGGGTGCACTGAGGCGAAAATTGAGACTGGGCGTGGTGGTGTGTCCCTGTAACCCCAGAACTTAGAGGCTGTAAACAGGAGAATCACTACGAGTCCAATCTAGTAGTGAGACCCCGAACATCCTGTAGACCCTTCCCTAAAATACAAAAAAGTATAAAATAAAAATAAAAAATATAATCATCAATATAAATGGCCTCAATTCTTCAATCAAAAGAAACAGACTGGCAGAATTGATGCAGAAACAATATTGAGCAATATGCTGTATACCAAAAAACACATTCAATTCAAAAATAAATTCATTGACTGAAAGTCAAAGGATGGAAAATCATACTCCATGCAACAGAAACCCAGAAAAAAGCAGGGGTAGCTATTCTGTTTGCAGATGATGTGAGCGTCAAACTAAGAATGGTCAAAAGAGATAAAGAAGGCAAAGAGATGGTCTGGGGAGATGGCTCAGTGGAATAAGCGATTCCCTGACAAGCGCAAAGACCTGAGTTCAATCCCTGGCTCTGCCAAAAGAAAAAAATAATCACTGCTATAAATGTTTAAAAAAAATAAAATTAAAAAAGCAAAAAGATATAAAGAGGATCACTAACTACATGTTAGAGGAACACTTCAGGAGGAAGAGATAACAGTCATAAACATATGTGCACCAAATATGGGGACACCCAAAGATATAAGACGAATATTAATAGACATGAATCAAATAAACAATAACACAGTTGTAACTGGGGAACTGAATACCCCATTGTCAAAAGAGATAGCTCAAATAGACAAAAAATTAACAAAGGAATATTAGAAATGAATCAAACCTGTGAACAAATGGACTTAGTAGATGTTTGCAGAATGTTCTACCCAACATCAGAATACACATTCTCCTCAGATGAACATGGGATGCTCTCTAAAATAGACCATACACTAGCCCACAGAACACATTTATGCAAATCAAAGGAATGGAATTGAAATTGCCCCATGCATATTATCTGACCATAGTACAATGAAATTGAAAATTAATGGCAAAAGAAACCAGAAAACTTCACAAACACATGGAAATTAAATAAGGCCCTGCTAAACAACTAATGTGTTACAGAGAAATTAAAGAAGAAATTAAACAGTATCTATAATTAAATGAGAATGCAGGGCTGGGGAGATAGCTCAGTAGAATAAGCACTTGCCCAGCAAGTGCAGGGTTCTGAGTTCAATCCCGGGTACCGAAAAAAAAAAAAATTAAATAAATAAGAACATAGGTGCAACATGCCAGAACTTATGGGATGCAATGAAAGCAGTTCTCAGAGGGAAGTTTATAAGAGTGAATTCTTGCATCAGGAAAATAGAATGAGCACTAATAGACAACCTTATGATACACCTCAGACTTCTGAAAAGCAAGAGCAGGTCAAGCCCAAGGCTCATACAAAGGAGAAAATTATAAAGTGAAAGCAGAAGTAACGCATGTGAGACTAAGAAAATAATACAGAGAACTAATGAATTAAAGAGTTGGTTCCTTGAAAGAATACATAAAACTGATAAACCCTTAGCCAGCCTTATCAAAAAGAAAGGCAAAAAAGATTCAAATTCATACAAAGAGGAATGAAAAAGGTAAGATCATTACAGATCCTGTGGAAATTCAGAAGAACATCAATACTTACTTGGAAAACCTTTATTTCCATAGGCTAGAAGCAGAAGAAATATGAATAAGTGATGCTAAATCAGATAGATTAAAAAATTCTGAATAAACCAATATTAGTTAATGACATTGAAAATATAATTAAAAACTTACCAGCAAAATAAGCCTAGGTCCTGATGGATTCATTTCTGAATTCTACAAAAACTTTAGAGATGACTTAATGCCAATACTTGCTAAAAGCTTTAATGAAATTGAAGTGAAATAATATTCCCTAACTCATTTCAAGAGTCAAGTAATATTCAGGTACAAAAAAAAGAAAAGAAAGAAAAAGAAAATCCCAACCAGAAGGAGAACTGCAAGTCAATCTCCCTAACGAAAACAGACACAAAAATCCTCAGTGAGATACTACCAAATGGAATGCAGCAAGTCATCAAGACTATGCATCAGGACCAAGTGGGATTCATCCCAGGAATGCAGGGATGGTCCAACATACACAAATCAATAAATGTAATACATCATATCAACAGAGCCAAAGACAAAAATCACATGATCATCTCAATAGATATGGAAAAAAGCTTTTGAAAAAGTTCAACATTCATTCATTATTTAAAAAAAAAAAAAACCTGTAGAAAAATCAGAATAGATATTCTTTACCTCAATCTGAGAAAAGCCATCTATGACAAACCAACAGCAAACATCATACTAAATGAACAAACACCCAAAATTTTCACTCTAAAATCAGGAACAAAACAAGAATAGCCACTATCACCACTCCTTCACAATATAGTTCTAGAAACATTAACATGTTAAACAATAGAAATAAAATAAACAAGGATAGAAAAGAAGTGAAATTATCATTATTCACAGATAACATGATACTCTACATAGAAGACCCCAAAACTCCACAGAAGATTTCCATATGTAATAACCAAATTCAGTAGCATAGCTGGATACAAAGTCAACACATGAAAATAAATAGCATTCCTGTACACGACAACAAACTCACTGAGAGAGAAATTAGGGAAACCACTCCCTTCACAGTGACATCCAATGAGGGAAATGACAGGAGATGGAGGGAAGAGGGAGGAAACTATCTTTAGGTATTATGAAGGATGGCTTGGATGATTTTACTGCTTATTTCTGCTGATCTACAGAGGGGAGAAGTCAATGCTTAATTTTTTTTCCTTGCCCTTTTTAATTTCTTTTTTCCCCCAACTTTGCATTATTATATGTGATAATCTAAATAACTCATTTGAAGACAGAATTATATAATACAGCAACTATTGAATTCCTATTTGGTTTGTTTCATGAAATTCTGTCTAATTTCTAATTTTTTAATGTTTTGTATTCTCCATTTATTTATTTATTTTGTATTTTAGGGAAGGGTCTACAGGGTGTTCAGGGTCTCACTACTAGATCAGATTCATACTGATCAGCCTGTTTAAAGCTTCCCAAGAGCTGGGATTACAGGTGTGCCTCACCACACCCAGTCTCAATTGCCATCTCAGCATTCTTCACGGGCAAGGCCAGCATAGCAGGCCCAGGAATCGAACCCCTGTCCCCTGCACCAGCTTGCAGGTGCTTTAATTTGCTGAGCTATTTGGCTGACCCCTGTATTCTCTTTAAGTAATGATAAAAATAGCATTCAAAATAGTGAAATACTTAAGAATCAATCTAACAAAGGAATTAAAAGATCTATACTTTGAAAATTACAGTACTCTGAAAAAGGAGATTAAAGATGATATCAGAAAATGGAAAGAAATCCCTTGTTCACATATAGGAAGAATCAACATTGGGCCAGGGAGATGTCTCAGTAGAATAAGCGCTTCCCTGGTAAATGCAAGGGCCTGAGTTCAATCCCTAGTTCCAAAGAGCACACGTCTGAACTCCAGTCACGCCGCAACCTGTCGTATGCCGTGCTCCAAAAAAAAAAAAAAAAAGAATCAACATTGTAGAAATGGCCATGCTTCCAAACCTGTCATACATATTTAATGGAATCCTATCCAAAATACCATTAATGTATGTCACCTACTAGAGAAAAACATACCTAAAAATCATTTAGAACCAAAAAGCCCTAGGGCAACAAAAGAAATTTTAGGCAATAAAGGCCAAGCAGGAGGCATTACAATTTGTGGCTTGAGACAACCCTCCCCCCCTCCATCTTGCCACCGAAGTTTCACTGAGCCCCAGCCACCAGCCCTCAACCTCAAGACTGCCAGGGAAACTTGTTAGGCTAGCCCCACGTCCTCCTCAGCTGATTTTCACTGAGCACTGGCTGCCTATCCTTGCCCTGAAGACTGCCAAGGAGATCTGTGAGACTGTCCTGGGGACCTGAAACCCGGTGTCCAGGAAGACTGCCATAGCGACCTGTGGGAGCCTTGGGGAGCCCTACGTCTGTGTGAAGCCACCACTGAGAAAGGCTTGCAGAACACTGGCCTGCACTCATCATCATTGGATCCTTATTGAGCTGCAGCTTTCCCCCTTCCCTCAGTGAGGTGGAAGCCACACTGAATCTCACACAACGGGAGCTTTGGTGAGCCTACCCTGCCCTCCCACTCTCTTGAGAGCCTTGCTCATCCATACTCCATCCACCTACCATCACTGCAGAGTCAGGGCAAACATCAGAGGCTTCAAAAAATGATGAAATAAAGAAACAAAAAGGCAATCTCAGACTTCTAGTCCACCCAAAACAAGTCCAGGAGACAAGGTCATAGAAGAACTTGGAAGTCACACGCCTGAAG